ATTTGTTACCTACGTATTCTCAAAAATTAGGGAGGAAAGAAAATCTTTCTAAATTGGTGATGGACTCATGACATTCATTAATCATTTAATGCTGAATTAAAGAAACTTTTGTTGATGACACATTTGGCAGTCACGTTATCGTACAAAAACAATAGAATAAAATTATACGCATTTTTTTTGAATATTTGAACAGGTTTATAAAATAAGGCATTTTTTTTTAAATCGATTTATCACGATTCAAGGGTATATTCACTACAAAAGAATCACTACAATCGGTTCACAATTGGCGTTCCGAATTGAGAGAAAATTTAATTTTAATACAATGTAATTCTAATTCACAATACTCTTTTAATATTTAGTACCTGGACGACCGAGCTTCGCTCGGAGTTTTTGGCTGTAAGTACAATTTTCTTTTAAAAAATAAAAACTTGAATAAATACAAAAAAAATAAAGTAAAAGCTTTTTATCCGACCGGTACTCGAACCTGGACACCTGTGATCGTCAATCTTGCGCCTTGGCCGCTTGACCACGATGCTAATGTCTAAGCGTAAGAAATTAGCGACCATATTTTGCGTGGAATAATGTGAAAGAAAACCGCATGAAAATTCCAAAACACGCATTTCCCAGAAATAAGATTAATCTAGATTTTTCGCCCCCAAAATCCTCCACATACCAAACAGCGAAATCGTTAGAGCCGTTTCCGAGATCGCCGGTATAAATAAATATACAAGAATTGCCCGTTTAAATATATTAAATAATTAATCAATAGCTTCTAAAAGTGAAATTCATTGTAAATGTTAAAAGTCATCCAATAAAATTGAAAATTGGTTAACCGCACGAGCTCTTCAAAAGCATTTCATTTGTAAATTAATTTGATTTGTAATGTGATGTAAATTAATTGAGTTTTAATCTTAACCTACATATATGTGTATATATATATATATATATATATATATATATATATATATATACTAGTGGCTCACCCTCGCTTTGCTCGGGTTCGCCTCTAGAAAAATACTAATAGAGATCTGTTAGTTCCCACGGGAACTGTTCGCTTTTTCGGGATGAAAAGTAACCTGTTGTTTGACCGGCAATATAAGGCATCAGAATGTTAAATTTTACTAAATTATATGCATAAGTTGTTGTGTACTAAGCTGTATAAGGTATTATAGTTTTTTAACTATCCCACGGGAACTCTTTAATTTTCTGGGATGAAAAGTATCTAAGATATTGCCCGGGGATATAAGGTACCACCATGCAACATTTCATTTAAATTGGTCCAACAGTTTCGGAGATTAGCCCGTACAAACAGACAAACAGACAGAGAAACAAAAAAATTGAAAAAAATCTGGATTAGTTCTATTTGTCTGTTCTTAAATCCCCCTGACTCGGTTTTTAGCGTTTTTTTTCTATGTACAGACATTCGACCTCTATTTTATTATAGTATATATATCTATATATAGTATGTATAGGGGTAAACTCCACATCCAATGTTCTAATTCCAATAACATTCTTTAATATACAGGTAGTTTTTAGCTATGTCATCCATTAATATTATATAGGCTAGAAATTATAATATATACCTAGTATTCTGCTAAAATAATCCAATCGGAGGTGATTTTGAGTAATTTTTTATTTGCATATATGTTACACATATTTAACTATTGTTATTGTATTTTTTACATCCCACTGCGGGGGTGGGCCTCCCTTCAATGCGAGAGGGATCAGGCCATAGTCCACCACGATGGCCAAGTTGTCGGAATCATAATAATTACATAAATAAAATTACAATAAATTAAATTACTTCATTTTATATTATCTATTAGGCATTAAAAATACGAGTGAGTATACATAGATGAAATAATTCTATCAATTTTTATAAAATCGTATTTTTTTATTTTAATCAGTACATTATATTTTTTTAAATAAATATTTTATTTTTAAATTATAATAACCTTAGTCTACAAGTCAAACAATGTAAGCTTTTTTTAATTTACTTGTTGTGTATTAAAAGAATTCGCGTGTTGTTGTGTATTGAAAGTCGTAAATTTAGCGACGCGAGTGTGCATGACCTATACGTAACATACGTAATATATTACACGAGATACAGCTGTGCTCGATAAAATTAACTACATTAATAGTGTATGTAGAAAATACACCGAGCCACAAATTGTATCAAAATTATGAAAATTGTTTTAAAAACATTAAAACAAGTAAGGCAAAATGAAAATTCTATACTTAAACAATTTTTCGGTTTATTTGTTTAATTTGTTTTAATTCAATTTAATTCTTATGTTCAATGGCTTTCTAGGAGTGCCGTTTGGGCACCAAATCAAATTAAATCTGTTTTAATTAGAAAATCATCGATATTTTAAATAAAACTATCTTGATTTTTCGGAATTTTATTAGGACTTTTTCACGGATTTATTTTGAATTTTGTTTCCCGACGTTTCGAATGCTTTACATCAATCATGGTTTCGAGAGAGACTAAGGTTTTAGGTGTCTCAAAGGCATTAATATAGTTCTTACAAATAGCCTGTGTGTCTGTCTGAGAAATCTATACAAAAGGTTAGAACGTAACTAGTGTGGAGGGTGAGTCGCTAGTTGGTAATGAATATTTTAAATACTAATATTACTGGCTTCATATCGATTTTCAGCACAAAACATAGTTTACGTATAATTTTATCCTAATGAGACTTAACTAAACTAATTAATGGCCTTATCATTTACATATTATATTAACTTTCTCGGAAATATGAGTTTTAAGCAGCAGCAATAATGAAACATAATGAAAATAAATATTTTAATTAATGAGCTGGTACACTTTAATGATTAACTTTTTGCACCAAATTAACAAAATTAGTATAATTGCATTGTTCATCTGGTTGACAACTTATATGGTGTATATGGTGGCAGATCATGAATGCTACCATATAATGATCAGATATGGTAGATTCGTGTTACAAATCAAATCAAAGTGCTGCTGGTTTTATCTGTCAACACATTTTCACTTTTACTTAACCTGATCGCAATTGTTTACCGAAATATGACTGACTGACAATGACTACGAGATGATAATAGAGAGTGTACCTGTATTTTAGCACACATCTGTGCATATCTTTATCTTTATATAGTAAAAAAAAGTGGCTAATGTGTCCACTTGTACGCTTAGTTCTTCCAAAGTACGTAATAGATTTGGATATGTTTCTCATAATCTTTTAGTTTATTTCTTTGGGAAGATATATTTATGTGTATGCATATATTTACTTGACGAGTTGATTACATACTATCGATTTCATTTCGTAAATAAAAATTGATGTTTTGTAGTCAAGTCTGAGAGAAACCTGGGCGATTGCTAGTAATATCTATAGTTTGATAAAAGCCCGCTAAAGTGGTCTAAGTAGCTCTACAGAGGTCACGATTTTATTCGGGAAAAATGTTATTATTGGCCGTATAACCATATTTTAACTATATTTGTCGCTGTTTGCGAGTATATTGTTATGTTCAGAATATATTTCTTTGAAAATTTATGTATTATGTACCTATTATATCATTGTATGTGCAGATAGCTCAAGAATGGCTATTATGTATGAAACTATAACGTACATAAATATTAATATTCATTTTAAAATAAATTTACTTCTGAAAATAGTTAAAATCACTCAGAATGATGATAATATTGTAGTTTTTAAATAATCCATATGATTGTAATATCTGGTAAGTTAACACAAATATAACTCGATTTTATAGTTGTTTTTACATAATCTAATAATGAAATCGATTTAGGTGCCTAACAACTAGCAATCTTGACATTAGGCGTGTAAATGTTGACATATTCGTCAATAAAGGAACTCGGTCAGTGTTAATTGCGCTTAGGCACGAGGGTCCTTGGATATAACTAATGATTCGCACTATCTATCCTTAATTTGTTAATATTTGAATGATGCCAAACATACATTTAGAGACTTCTGTCCTAAATTTTGTTTAGAGTGCTATCGTGTGTACGATGAGATCAAAGGATACATCTTTGATACGTAATAGTGTCCTTAATAAATAAGATTTATGATAATGTTATATTCATATATGAGCAACAAATCTTATTTATCAGAAAAAATTGTAAGGATGTAAGCTACAAATATTAGTGTGCTGAAAATTTGATATTTACGAAAGAAATAACAATAGGAAAGTAAGTGACTCTATAGCGAATACTTAGGCCTTAGATATTCTTAAATAATTTGCATGGATTTCAAATCAAAGAGAATTTTATTAAGATTAGTTCGCATTTCCCCTCACTACACTTATTATATCTTGCTTTGACGGATTATTTCTATTTACTTTTAACTACAGACTTTGGGATATGGAATATTGCTATGAAAATATAAAAATTGAATTTACTTTATTTTTTAAATTGATTTTTTTTTGTTTTATGTGAAAAGAGGATATGTGCTTGGTACTAGCGAGTAGCCCAGCTTCACTTAGGCTCGTATCTTGTCGAAACATTCAAATATCTTTTTTTTTTATTATTAAAAATGGGCTTACTCTTGACTTTCATCTTAGCTCGAAGGCATAGATAAGGTCTATGATCTAGCGAGTTTGCCCAGGAGAAGCCTGTTAGACGAAAACAGGGAAAATACGTTAACATTTGGAGTTGAATGTCGTAAAGAGACCCTCGCGCTTACAATTAATTTCTAGGGAGCTAGAACCGCTAGCTGTCACTTTAATAATTATATAACTAGAATTATTGCTAATATATTCATAAAATTTACATCTAATATGATTATTTTATTAAATTTATGTAATTTAGTCAAGAAAAGCCAGTACTATGATATCTGCATACCTCTTAGGCCAGTTGACGCTCATCGAGGAATCCCTAAACTATCGACTTAATTATCCTAAAGTTCATACTTGATTTTCCTAGTTATTTGAGAGAATATCCCCTTTCTCCTAAGAAAGGGGAAGAGAGACGATTGAGACTATGACACGCACAACGAGAGATGATAATGTGGCACTTGGGAGACGGCCCATCTTGGAAATACCTGGAATGGACCATGGGTTCTGGTTGTCTGCGTCAGTGGGTTAGCCGCCGAGATTACTTGGTTGAGTGAGTGAGTGAACGGGCAAGGTTTTGTTGGGTTTTAGTGAGTACTACTGGTTTTTCTAGCCGGCGAGTCCAACATAACTTCCTATGTGTATGCAGGTGGTATTTGCAAATGTATTTCCCAAAGTTCAAAGGTCGAACGAAACAAACAGCTGTAATACTGGATATTCTTATTAGATACTTTGCTCCTAAAGTTAGATTGGTCCTATTCTACTAATATTACAAACGCAAAAGTTTATGGGGATGGATGGATGTTTGCTACTCTTTCACGCAAAAACTATTAAAGGGACTTTGATGAAATTTTACAGTAATATAGCTTATACATCAGAATAACACTAAGGCTATAATTTCCATAAGATGTAGTAATACATGATTGAACTACACGTCCGGAAAATGCTAGGAATAGCAATAAGTTAGAGGTATAATTTTGTATGAGTTTACAATAGTTTCTTTTTTGTGAAAATCATTATTTTAATTATTATAAAGATATCATCATAAAAACACATTAAAATTAAAATCTCATCTAAAGAAGATAAATAATAATGTTAAACTTGTAGGAAACATAATTAATTCATCATAATTTCTTTACATAAATAATTTTCCGATATTTCTGCTATTAAGAGCATATGGAGCTTATGCTATGTTTACAAACAAACCCAAACGTTACGTGTAAAGTGTAAACTAAGATCAAGATCAAAGACCAATATTGCTAATTTCTGCATTGATTTCGTAAAGCGTCTAAAGTTTTGAATAAACATACTGATACCTACGTAAAAATATAACTTATTTTTAATTGCGTTATAAAAACTTTCAATTAACATTGTCTTATAAGTAAATCGTATTTTTTTAACGTATTTAAAAAGTTTTAACTCGTTTCCAATTTAATAGGCTGATGATGATAGAAATATATAATAGGCGATGAAAACCTGTCTGTCCCCAAGATACAATCTATGTCCTGGACGAATACACTTTGTATTAAAAGTGATAATATAATCATTTTATTCAGGCTCTAACTTAATTAAAGACAATATTAGACAGTCCACAAGACGATGCTGAAAGTAAGTCAGATATATGTATATGTGTGATATATGATGATTTTCTAACCGATTTCGAGACTAGCCATCTGGAACAGGAAATATCAGGTATAGTGCATAAGTGTACACGCAGACACCAGTGCACTCTCTATTCCTTTCAGTCTCATATTCCGCTGGGCCAATAACTTAACACTGTCCGAGGCACGGGGGTGAAATACCGTCAACTTTCCAACTCCAGGCTGTTACTGAGAATTTCTTAACAGAGAGACTCAAAAAACTTATCTTAGCACGACCAGGGACTCGAACACAGGACCTCCGGATGTGCAGTTTATAAATTATACATTGATTGATGTACCTATAGTTCTTAAAAAAGTACATATTTTGAGTATTTTTTGTGTGAAAATAAATATATCATAGGATTATACTTATTTGTTGACGATTGTCTCCGATACATAAAGGTCGTAGCTATTTTACAGCATGCGTAAAAGTGAGGTAATAATGTAAGGAACTCAATATATCGTTCAAAAGAGGTCGAAAGCTTTCAGGGGCCTTTTGTGTGTAAGTTAATAAGCAGTTTATGTCCACATCGCTTATTCAGCCACTTTCATGATATAATCTCAAAAGAATCATTAAAGTTTACTTTTCAATATATACCTACCTATCCCTGGTCTCAAAAAATATAAATTAGGTACATTTAAAGGCGTTACAGTAAAATATTTTTGAGGAAGCGTCTATATTTTTTTCATGAAATTAGAAAAATAAAAGGAAAATGCGTAATTATAGACTTTTAAGTGTCTATTTGCTTGTAGTTATATTAATTTATACTAAACTTAATAAGGTCATAAGGCACAGGATATATATGAGTATAAGTGACAATAATTAAACCCACAGAAAATAATCGATTGTTTACTAACAAAGGATATATTACAAAACGGCAATACATTCCTCTTTTATTTATTTCTAATGAGGGATCGTATCCCGCGGGACCCTCTCATCCGGAGGATAAACGAGATCTAATATGGTTATGATCGACATACCGTAACACACATTTGATAGATAACGTTTCATTGTTATGTGCTTTTTGTTTATTTATTCAGTATTCTCAGATTGTTTTTATTTTAGTTTGTAATGTAAAACACAGTAATAAGTTATTATGACTGTTGATTGTTTAATGTTATTACCATTGATTTTGTCATATAAATTAATTATAAGTTAAGTGTTATCTAAGCAAATTAATGTGGATAAACATCACTGTAAACTAAAAAATCATGGTGTCGAATCGTAAGAAGTTTGGCGTTAATTAAAGTTTTGCATTAATGTTGTATTAAAAATAAATATGGTATAAACATACAAGATATATATAAGAGTTCGTGAATATAAAAACAATATAAGAAATTGTCCTAAGCAGAAAGATAGATAGTAAGATTTCTCACCTTTTTTTTAACGTTGGGAAATGCATTTACGCACGACGTGTGGGACTCACCGTTGTAATACAGCCAGCACTACCCACTAAAACCCAACAAAACCTTCCCCCGTCTTAATGGGGCGTCGCAGGATCGCTTACGCATTCAACTACATACGCCCCGACGGTAGGTCTGCCGAAGCAGACCACCACAACCATGGGGTTGCTCCAAGGTCCACTCTGCTATCAGAGAAGTACCAGGAGCAACCCGCATGGTACACCGCCCCCCGAAGAGGGCCACCTCCCACCGCCCACCGAAGTGGGCAACCTCCCTGTGCGTTTCTTAGCTTCGCGTCCGGTTGGATTGCCGGGCACTACTGAGCCCCCCCACCACGACAAGGTGAACGCACGTTTGGGAGATTTCTCACCTAGAATTATGTCAGCCATTCAACTAAGACTTAGTATAGTAAATATAGTTTTATAAAAATAGCAATTAGTATAAAGCTGTTTAATTTAATTCAGCGATATTATTCCCAAATGTTTGACTTGCTAATTCAAACATCCTTACATGCCCTATCACTTAGAACTTCCCTGTCTTAAACCTTAGCATTCCAAAATGTAAGAGCAAAGTAGCTAAATCTCCCAAGAACTGAAAACTCGCCATCGAAACCTTGCGGAATTAGTCTGTTAACCTTTACATTTGGCGCTATGTTCGAGTAAAGTACCTAATCTACTAATTATTGTCATTAAGACAATAAGTATTATGATATATATTTTTAATATTCGGCTTTCCCATAACATATAATACTATTGATTTAATCTGAAATAATTAACATACAGGGAAAAGAGATATGGGATTGGGCAGTTATTTCTGTCGAACAAATAAAAAAAAATTAGACTAAATATGTTTTAAATAATTACTTCAACGTACTATGCAAGATATGAAGGCACAGTGGATTACATTGGAGCCTTCATAACGCCGAGTACATAACCTATCTGTCTAAAGTTTACCGAGATAGAAATTTGACACAAGCTCTATACGAATTATGTCAAATTCCTATTGCTACTATAAAAACTACAATTACCGTTATTGGCTACCACCGTAAGATTTTTTTTGAAACAGCGGTTTTTTTTCAGCTGTCAGAGAGAATTATAATATAACCTGTCAATTTTGTTATACCTTATCTTAAGAAGTGATAGTTTCAATATATTTTTTTATTCATTTATAATGTATTCATTCTCTTTCAGGCACTGGCATGCTATAATGGTGGACGGGCTGAGTCCAACAACAGCCACCAATGGGACGACATATACTGACGTCCCTAATTTTTATATCACATTTTTCGAAGAGAACAATAATCGCTATTACAATCAGACAAGCAATATTACAGAGGTAGGTTCACCACTATGGTTTATGTGACGGAGAAATGGAGAGAACATTTCTTTGTCACATAAACCAAATAAGTTAGTTCGATAAGTTTGGAATAATACTAAAAAAAAATTATTTTATCTGCTTGTTTGCATGAAATATAAATTTTTTAATTATATTTTAAAAAGTAGACAAATTTAAAACAAGTCTAAAATTCATATGAAAATTCGTTATTTTTAAACTACGCGTATAGCTGCGGACAAATAATAGTTGATAACTAGCGACTTTACCCTCGCTCTGCTCGGGTTCGCCCTAGTTACGTTTTAATTTTTTGTACCTGTAGATTTCTCAAAGATGAGATATTTTTCCGCAGTAAAAAGTATCTTATATGTTGACCCGGATAACCAGCTATCATCATACCTAATTTCATCAAAATCTGTTCAGTGATGATGATCTCGTAATGCGTTCCAAGACTGACAGATAGACAGATAAAAATTCTTAAAACTATAGATTCGGTCTCTGCGACAATAATAATGACTATTTCAATAATATTTTCCGAAATTTTTTTATTATAAGTATACAGATTCGATTCAGTTAGAATTTTATTATATGTATAGATAATAAGATAAGTAGGTTCATAATAATTTAATATAAGAATAAATTAGGTGTAATAAATTTAAATTTTATTCCATCAAGGTGTTCTAATTTATTCTTATAATAATTAGCATGTAAATGTATTTTCTTTTACTCAGGAATACCAGTCATTCATATTGCCATGGTGGCGTCAGATATTATGGACGGTGTTGTTTGCGGGCATGGTGGTGGTGGCGACGGTGGGCAACGTCGTCGTCATATGGATCGTCCTGGCGAATAAACGAATGAGAAGTGTCACTAATTACTTTTTAGGTAAGAATTATGGAATGCAACATCAAACTTTATGGGGGCTACCGCGCTTGAATTCAACGCGAGAGGGCGCTAGTGTAGAGTGAGGTCTCTAGAAATGTCAAATGGTAATGAACGGTTACTGCTTGCGAGCTTTTTATCGCGTATTTTAATAATATTCATGATTATTGTAAAGATTGTGCCGTTCCTGATCATTTGTGGCAGACACGGTACAGCACAATAAATCTTATTTGTTTAAAAGAAGAATTAAGAAGAAGTCAATATTTTATTTATTTGGTTATAATTAATAATTTAAAATCCTGATAGAACTGTTTTCGCGCTAAAAATTATAATTATTATATTAAATTTATTGGTCCTGCCTGCCGCACTAAGAAATACTTTCCAAAGACAGAGATAGGATCTCACTCGCCAGTGGCGCCAACTGGTGCCATCACAAACGATGACCCTCATTGACAAATCTAGACTAATATTACAAAGAGGTAAACGTAAGTTTATAGATTTGGATTAAGTATTATCCATACTTTAAAACTACTGATCTAATAGTGAAAATTATTTTACTAATATGAAGCTACGAGTACAAACAACCGAGTGCTATAGGCTATTTTTTATTCTACAAAAATGTATTTACTGTTATAATTTATAATAACTTAAATTGAAGACGGAAAAAATGTTGCTGGTTGCTGGTTTGAAATAACGTCAAAAATGTATGGTGAAAACCTATTCACCTAGAGAAACACTCGAGCTAATCTATGTTAAGTCGCTGTGTTATATATATATATATATATATATATATATATATATATATATATATAATTGGTTTTAAAGTTGTTGCCACATACAGTGTTTATATACTATACTAGTACAGTTCAATTTTTATTGGCTTCATAAAAACAGATTCATATTAAAAGTTCATCGTATCAAAGGTACGAAAATGAACTAGTTTTGCTTTGAGCACAGTGTTTTTCAGAAAGTATTTTGAGCTAAAATCAGGTCATGAAAAGCTGAATTTCCGGACACGATCAGTTTTAACCTATGCATTATTTATTACAAAAATAAATTGCGAATAGATTTCGAATTGCTTAGTCGGTATAAAAGTGAACTACAATTTGATGATACTTTTAAACTCAATCAATTTGATGATACTTTTAAACTCAATCAATTTGATGATACTTTTAAACTCAATCAATTTGATGATACTTTTAAACTCAATCAATTTGATGATACTTTTAAATTCAATCGCGAGTAAATAAAGTTTAATAAATAGCTGAGGAATTTATGCAAAAAGTAGGTTTATTATAATTACATAGGTATAAAAAATTAGTAAGTACTTTAAAAAAACTTGAAACCATCCCCTATTTTTCTTTGATTGGTTATAAACGCCGAAATATGTTTTATTTCTTACCAAAATTATAGGATGTAATGATTTTTTTCCCAATACACTATTTTAATTTTACATTTCAATCCCTATTTCACCCCTTTCAAGTTTTATTTTTGGGACAAAAAGTATCCTATGTCCTTCTCCAAGGCCCCATCCCTCTCAATACCAAACTTGATCAATATTGATTCAAGAGTTTAGGCTTGAAAACGTAACAGACAGACAGACAGGCAGAGATGATAAGAGATGCTATTATTATTTATAATTACATATAATAAAGATTTATTAAAATAATATACTAACGATTGAGTAATCTTCATTCAAGACATATAAATTAAATGTTTTCTCGTAAATTTGACCATATCTTCCAGTTTTCATCAATTATTAAAGTATTATGTTAAAAGTTAAAAACTAATTATTTCCCAATATTTACCATAAGACCAGCCTAACATTTAAATCTATTGTAAACGATAACCTGATCCTTTTACCCAATAGTTTGATGTTTCTCATTTTCCTAAACTACATTCAATAGAAACTTTGCAACATTCCCAAACAACTATCTAAGTATTCTATAAAGTTTATTAAACGGTTTAAACTCGATTTTCTCGAGTTATAAATGAACTAACTTAATAGAGCCCTAAACGTAAACATTAGTGACGAAAATTAATATTTTTTTACTTTACACGTTACTATAAAGCGTTAAATACAAAATAAGTGTGTAAATGCTTGGCATAATAGAAATATGAAAAAGTATATCGGAAAATTTACATATTAAGTAATAATCATTTTTTTTTAAATTTACCCAAATATTTAATACTTTAAATAAAAAAATTAAAATATTAAGCAGTACTACTACCATATTTACAAATTAAACAATATTAATTAATTTCTTTGTGTTTTTTTTAATCTACATAATAATAACTAAATACATTTGACGGTCTGTTAGATAAACACTATCTTTTATCATTAGAACTCGGGTCAAGGAACACATAGCTGAAGTGAAGCACCGTCGCAATACAAATCTGCGGCCTGTCAAAATAGTCAGGATCGCCCAAACCACTACATAAGATTCGATAAACTTCAAATCCTCGTAACAGATTATCGTTATCGTCCTAGAATGGTATGAGAAGCTATCGAAATTTGAAAAAAAAAAACATCTAAATTTTATCGGGAAGATGGCTGGGTGCTATCATTGTCGTGGGTACCTGTATTTAATATAATAAAATCAAGGATCAAAACTAAAAGTACACAACAGATCGTTAAATATAGCCTAGTTCTTACTGTGCAGATGAAAATAATGGCATTTAAAAATAATATTGTTAATTAATTTTAAATATTATTATTTTTTTGGATTTTGTTGTGATTTTTGATCGTCCCATAAGATAAACTTATTATAGACGTGCCCTTTAAAATTATATTAATACAATTCTTTCGAAGAAAAAGCAACTTGCACCGAAGCATCTTACAATACTTTGTTAATTTTAAGTGTAAATATTATTAAATTGTAGGACTATATCCTAGTAAGAATTATTACTTTCACGAGTTCGAATTGAACGAACTTGATTCATTCAATATACTAAAATCGTATATGAAGTTACTGTAGGTACTGTATTACAATATACTGAGGCACTTTTATATGTATCTACATATATACGAGTAGAACACTAGCTTGATTCTCCATACAAAGTTTCATCCCCATTTTCACCCCCTTAAGGGATGATTTGCGGGATAAAGTATCCTATGTCCTTCCCTGGGTCTCAAACTATCTTCTTACCAAATTTCATCTAAATCAGTTCAGTAGATCTAGAAATTACCCCCTACAACGTCACAAACTCACAAACTTTATCTCTTTATAATATTAGTATAGATTTTAATTAAGCAAAATAAATCATGCCCACTTGTTAGTCTAAAGTAATCTAATGCAAATTATTCCAGCGAAAATTGTAGATGCCTACTACAAAAGCGCTTACCTACGCTCTCAAGTCTGTCATTTTCTCAGTTTTATCGGGAATGTAAACTAATGTTGTTATTATATTTGACTGAGATAGAATGTTTTTATGTAATTTATTTTAAATGATATTAACTCCAAATGCTATTTTATTTTAAAAAGCATATTAAAATTATAAATATATCGACACAAACCACTAAAACCATTAGTAATAAGAATTTTCAGAGAATATCTATATCTTTAAGGTGAAAATAGATGCTATTAGAATTATTAGCTAATATTAGTTAAAAATGAAAAAAATCTAATAGTAATTATTAAGGTCTAATCCTGGATTATTTCAACAGTGAACCTGTCAGTGGCCGACGCGATGGTGTCGACGCTCAATGTAACCTTCAACTTCACGTATATGCTCTATTCGGATTGGCCCTTCGGCCACTTCTACTGCAAGTTTTGTCAGTTCATCGCCGTGCTCAGTATATCTGCTTCAGTCTTCACCTTGATGGCTATCAGTATAGACCGGTAATTAAGATGCTTTTGTTTTGACTTATAATTAAAAAAAATTAAGAAATAATTATACTTACTCATAAGCAGCCATTTATTGGCAAATTATTTATGATATGGATTTTATCAATTATAATTTTCTATTAGATAAAGCAATGTTAACCCAGTAGTAACGCGCTTGTTTAGGAAACCAGGTGAAGCGGGTTCAAATCCCGCGTCTCGCACCTCTAATATTTTCATGTGAAAATCATTTTCGACATGATTACCGCTTGCCTAGCGGTAAAGGAAATCTTCTCGAGGAAACCTGTATTATTGTTATATATTCAACATACATTACTTTTTACTGCGGGAAAATATTTCATCTTTGAGAAATCTATACAAAACGTTAAAACGTAAGTAGGGACGAACCCGAGCGAAGCGCGGGTGAGTCGCTACTCGCTAGTCTTTATATATATAATTCTTCTGTGAGTGTGTATGTCACTGAACTTCTCTCAAACGACTGGACCGATTTTGATGAAATTTTTTGTGTGTGTTCAAGGGGATCTGGGAATGGTTTAGATTCACAATTGTACACGGTAGGTGGCGCTGCTGTCGGTGTGACAAAGGGTTTGTTTTTTTAGTAGTTGATCGCGGGCGAAGCCGCGGGTACAGCTAGTCTTATATATAAAATTTCCATGTCACAATGTTTGTTACCGTACTCCTCCGAAACGGCTTTACCGATTTTTACCAAATTTTATATGCGTATTCAGTAGGTCTTAGAATCGGCTACTATCTATTTTCCATACCCCTAAGTGATAAGGATAAGGGTGGTCCTCCCAGACCTCCCCCCCCCCCAGGGACGAACCCGAGCGGAGCGAGGGTGAGTTGCTAGTATTACTATAAATTTAAGAACAAACCTGAAACACCACTATTAAAATTAGACTATCAAAACTTTTTACAAATTAAAAAAAAAAGATATTGATCATAAAACGTAACTTCAAATGTAGCCTTGGAAAAAGTGGAAAGAGAAGTAAGGAGTAACATGTTCATTACGATTCAGTATAAACGAGGAAATTAATTGTTACGTAAATAAATCTTCTATTAGGATAAATATCCCCACAGTTTTTATTTAAATTACCCAGACATAAAATAACATTGTAGGAAGTGCCAAGTTATGACAGTATCAAAGAGAAGTGCTGTTTTTACAAGCTTATATTTATCTTGTAATGTTTGTATGTTTGTTTGTTCGAATCAAATCTTGCAACTGAATTTTAAAGCAGTTATGCTCAACCGATTGAATTGAAAATTGGCATATACGTTTAGCTTAGATGACAATGCATGGTTCGATAAGTGACGTCATTCTAAATCCAACATGGCGGATTACGTTTTTTATGCACCCCCATGACATGGATATCAAATGAAAGGATTGGCTGAGAAGAATACTAATAAATACCTAAAAATAAAATAATACTTTAAATTAAATCAAACCCATTTATTACGTAACACAGTTTATACAAGCCTATATTTAAAATAGTTTTTTAAATATTATTTTATACTTTAAAGTTTAAACTATCAATATTTTTCACAACTTATAAATAATCAATATTTTTTGCTTTTATTTAATTTGAATATATGCTTACACGCCTACTTTTGTAAAAATATTAAGTTAGAAAATAAAATTCTCGAATAAAATGATACATAGTATGTAAGGACTAAGGTAGTGTTAAATGTAATATATTAAAATATGCGAGAAAGCCGAAAAAAGGTTAAAATGTTCCAGAATGATTTCAAACGGAGAAATAAAAGAATTTAAATTTGATATTATTTTAGAAAATTGGTGGGTAGCCCAGAAGGGCCGTATTATTAAATCATTACAACAAACGCGTAAGGTTTCTGGTCCATTAAATATAATTACTTATGAAAATTAATATAAAGCGCTTAAAATTCTCAATAAACACTTTGCTATATTTAATTATAATCATCATCAGTCTCCTAACTTATGAGAGCTGTAGATAGGAGTGACGATGTTAATGCGTGGCGTGTAAATTGCTAAATTATTCAAATATGTTGGGTTATAATTATGTTTGATCATTTCATATTCGAGTATTTATAAAAATTTACATTGTATTCTACCCTTTTTACCTCCCATTGCTGGGCACGGGTCTCTCTTCAATACGAGGTGGATAGTCCACCACGCTGGCCAAGTGCGGGTAGGCGGAATTCACATGTCTTTCGAAACCTTGTTAGGCTCTCTCAGACATGTTAACTTTTACGCGAATTTTATATTTTTTGGCTTGAAATTCAAGAAAAAACTTGAATTTCAAGAAAAAAATCTAAGTTTGGAATAATTACTTTTAAGATATCTTTATAGTCTTTGTATCTGTAACATTTAAAAAGTCATACAATATATAATTTTGTCATTAACTTTTTTATCACTTACGTTGTAAAACTTACAATTTATATTAACCTTAATTTAAAACACTTTGCGATCTTTTACTGTAGATTTCAATAAAGTCCTCTATAATAAAATATATTACGCTTCTCTCTCCCGATGAAATAAGAATATCACATAAAAATCTCTCTTGTAGGTTATAAAATTCGTACATATTCGATTACAGTGAGGCTTGTGCATTCATTATTAAATTCTCAAAATAAATCCACTGCTCAAAGAATGTTAACGACAGACGCTTCGGAATTCAATGTTCTTTTTATCATTAGGCATGTCCGATCTAAAGAGCTTCAACGTGCTCAAATAGCATTCGTTTGACTACTCGCTATTTCAAATGAAAATATTGTCTGATGCTTTGCTTAATTAACATTTATTTAAAAGTCTATATATTTTGTTAATAACTGAAGGAAACATTGGGTTTTATTTATCACTTTCTATTGTGAGATAAATATCTGTTTTAATACTAATTTTGTTTTGTTAAATATTTACGAACTACTAACCCTCTCGCTTCCCTAGGGCTCGTGCCCGCATTTATAAACAAATTCTTGCAATATATTTATTTATACTCCACAGGAAGTACTTAATTTAAAACAGATCGATGCATTGCTCTATTGTCGAATTGATATTAAAACAATCATAGATAGTACGAGTATAACATACAACATTAGTAAAAAAACTCGAAAGTGCAATATGTATTCAGCCCTTTTTTTAACATCCGACTGCTGGGCACAAGCCTCCATTCAATACGAGAAGGATCAGGCTATAGTCCACCACGTTTGCCAAGTATGGGCGAACTGGTAGGTTCTTTCAGACTTGCAGGTTTCCTTCACCGATAGACAAGTGATAATCTTGTTGAAAATGATTCGCACATGAAAATATCAAATGTGCGAGACCCGGGATTTGAACCCGCTTCACTCGGTTTTCCAAGCGAGCGCGCTACCACTGGGCTACCACTACTTCCAAAGTGCAATTTACTTACTATTAAAAAGATTAATGTTAACATTATAATTATTGTTATAGCATGCATATAAGCGCTATAATTTATTTTATCACGTTTAGGATTTGACCATTTGTTCTTATTTTTATCTATTTTCGCAAATGTCTTTTAAGCACTGATAAAATGTTGCGTAAACTTATATAAAAATACGAGAAGTATTCATAAATTCTTCTATAGGTAAAACACGACTGTCAATACTTGTTATCTTCATCTAAATATTGAATCTTAATTATTATCATAAAATTTCTTTCTTTTATGCCAAATCTTTTAATAACTTAAATCCTAAGATTTGACATTTAAGATATTATTCAAATCATTACAATTATAACTTGCTTGATTGAATCAAACACTCAAAGTTACTAAAAGTTTTGTAGAAAATAATTTATCTTTTCAAGAAATTATGTTTGAATACCAATATAATATTGTAGTTCATTTTGTCATAATTATTTAAGTAAAGTAAGTTATTATTAGATATACCTAATATTAATTACACGATCCGTCCGGCTTCGATCGCGAATGGCATATGGAAAACACAAATCGAGTTATGAGTAAAAGTTTATATGCTGCAGCCGGCAGCGCCATTTACTGGCGAGTTAAAACAAAATTAATGTCATAAAACCTTTTCCATGTAAAACTTTTGGAGTTTTGCGGTTTTGCACAAACGAACCTTCACGTTTTTGTTTGGAGAGAAGATGATTAGAGTGATGTAGAGAGATTAAATAACTTTATTTTCAGTTATAATGTTCATTATTAAACAAATTTAAGTTATAATGTTAATTATTAAACAGAAAGTGATGTGTCTATAATCATATTTGAATGTTTTAGGTACGTGGCAATAATGAGTCCTCTTAGGCCAAGACTCGGCAAGCGAGCGACTCTCGGCATCGCCGCTGCGATATGGGCGGGGAGTTCAATCATAAGCAGTCCTAATATCATTTACTTTACAACAGATGTTGATTTTTTGCCAGATGGAACTACGAGGTATGTTAATGTAAAGTTTAAAAAAAGGAATTTTCTAAGGTATCTTCTTATGTTGATTTCGTTATAACATTATATACGTTGTAAAATGAACCAATAAAAGCGAGACTTATTTTTAACTACATCGTAATATAAGCTAAGACGAGCTTAGAAAGCAAGATCTGATCCGTAGATTTAATATAGGTACGTTTTGGCTAGTAGGTTCTAAAAAACAAACGATTTTTAAATTAAATAAATTAGTCGCCTCGCCTCTAGTTTTTTTTCGTTCTATTTGGCTATTTCTTATATATTTTTCTTTTTCTTTTATTATAATCTTGAGTTTCTGGGACCGAGCCCCGAATCGGACTAAGTGTTTACAATTATTACATTTCTTTACAAGAAAATCGAATGTGTTAAATCTTCATGCCTTGTGGAACATGTAAAGCTGTCTGTCCTTCCCCTATCCAGCCCCTCATCACACCGGTTGTGTCGGATTGACATCCCACTGGACTTTGAGAGTGAAAGACGCAGATAATGCACTTATGTTTGCGTATATTCATGGTCAGAAACTATTTTTAAATAAATCCAAGAGCCATTAAAAGGTGATATTACCCTTTTATATATATATATTAATTGAACTAGCAGCTCACCCTCGCTTCGCTCGTGTACATCCATAGGAATTTTTTAAATAGATTTAAATAGTTATTAGCCAGCTATATATGAGTAAGCTGGTTGATTTGAAACCCTTATTAATTTGCGGTGTACCGTATCGACGGGATGACCATCAAATGTTTGACAGGTACTAACCCCAGGAACATTTATAGAAAATGTGTCTATTTTTATTCTGCACGGTTCACGCGACAACGTACTGCGGTACTTTCTTTATATCAAAGCAATTTTCATTGCGCCATTATTGATTGCCAAACTTGATTAGGCGAGCTGTTTCGTAGTTGTTTAATGGTACCATATATCAGAAAATATGATAAATAAAAGATGCTTTTGGGTATTACGAAATGAACGAGGTTTAAAATACCTTAAAGCTCTATAGATCAAATTTGTAATGGAAATTATTTATTAGATAGTCTTGTGTAGGTATAATATTTTATAAATTGAAGTTAATATTGTATGTCACGTGAGACATGGGCGTAATGTAAGCTAAGCTACTCGTAGCTTCATGCCCTCTGTCACAATTACACACGTACGTTTCTTGATAAAAGTTTTCTTTCTCCACATTTCAACACGAAAACTGAACTACTTACTACATTTATTCTATTCTACGAAATATTTTTAACTTTTTTTTGAAATTTGCTTATTTAAAACTTAAAATTTACTTATAAAATATTGAAATAGCTGTTGTATAACTAATGTTAATTAATATTGAACTTCTGTATCTGTATAATTATTTGATGATTTGTTAAAATAATTTCATGGTAATTTATTTAATGTATTTACTGTTTTGTTCTGTTATAAATGAAAAATATTTTCGTCGCTAATAAAGTAAATAGGTAATCAAAATAACACTTTGTTCTAGACGCGTGTGCTTTCCGGATTGGCCGGATGGTATCACCACGAAGTCGCAGCTAGAGTATTTGTGAGTAATTACTCTTATCCACTATTTTACGTATAGGTATCTATACTAATGAATGGACAGCCGATTTTTCTGTTCGGTTATACTGCGATAACTACTGAACCGATCGGAATAATACTCATACCATAAGATGCAGCGTGTTTCGGAGGTTTTAGTATATGATATGTTGGTGATTAATGTACTATGCGGGCGGAGCCGCAGGAAAACGCTAGTAACTCATAAACAATGATATGCCTAAAATTCAAAATTAAGTTAATATTTTAAAAAAGAAACTTTTATAATGTATGATGAAACATCTATCAACTAAGGTATAGCTAAAAATATATTAGTTGTAGTTCAAAAAATATTTATTTTTAATGTAATTTGAAACTTTTTACTAAATTTTATCGAGTACTTCACGTATGTGGAGTTACAGAAAAAACTGACCAATGCGTGTCGGATTATGTGGAAAATAATCAGCTTTTTCCCTTATCCTCATGATGCAATTGTCATTAATAACTCACAAAATTAGACTTCATTTAGATATGCTGTGCATATAAGTGTACTAATTTTCCCCACCACTGGATTCAAAGAAAATAATCTCTGTCAAACCAATAGACAAGAGCTCCGTGAATGTGATGGGAAGACCCTTATACGATCAGTCTCGCCTGTCTACGTGTCTATCTATATACTACTTCGCCTGATAAAACGCCTGACAAACGTTAATAAGACGTTACTATGAGAGGCATATTAGATTTCAAAAATGCCAAAGGCGTTGTATCATGTTTGAAAGTAACTATTAATTATATGAAAATAGTTCTAATAAGAGGTACTAGTATTTAAAAATATATAGTTGAAAAGATATTTAAAATAATCTATAATAGTACATTGGTCATGTTTTTCATATTTATAATAATATATATATATATATATATATATATATATATATATATATATATATATATATATATATATATATTTTTTTTACGTTTACAAACTTTTTTTTTATAGGTACAATGTAGCGTTTATGGTACTAACATACTTCCTGCCGATAATATCTATGACGTACACGTATGCAAAAGTTGGCGTGGAGCTATGGGGATCGAAATCCATCGGCGAGTGTACTCAGAGGCAACTGGACAACGTGAAGAGCAAACGACGGGTAAATATTAACATTATAAGTAGTATTCTGTAAGAGCTTTGTTATGAAAACCGACAGCTGGTTCCGCTATCATATTTCATACAACATATATAAAGTGCATTTACAGATATAATTGTCGATTTAGATAAAACTTAAAGTATAACGTTACATTGTTCTCGTAGGTTTTGTATTGTAATTTATCACACCGTTGGTTCCGTACCCGAAGCGTGCTTTTTGTTAATTTTGAAAATGCATTTATGCATACGACATGTCAATATACAGGTGGTTATGTGGGACTTGCCGGCTAGAAAAACCAGTAGTCCCACTAAAACCTAAAAAACTTCCCCGTCTCAATGGGGCGTCGCAGGATCGCTTAAGCACTCAACGACGATGCCCATACAGCAGGTCTGCCGAAGCAGACCACAACAACCATGGGGTTGCTCCAACGGTCCACTATGCCGTCATGGAAGTACCAGGAGCAACCCGCATGGTACACCCTCCTTGTGCGTTGTGCGTTTCTTGGCTTTACGCATGGCTGCACTGCCGAACGCTAATGAGTCCCCCCAATAAAACAATATTTTTTTAATTTCGAGACAATGTTCCGTGACGTAGAAATTTCATCCCAAAACTTTTTACTATATTATACAGCACAATAATAAATAGTTTAGGGACGACATATATTTTCCATGGTAGAATATTTTACTAACATCAACTAGCTAAATTCAAAATATATATTGAGTGTTTGAAGTATATAGGTAGCGGGATTGTAACCCACAGCGCGTTAGCTGACAATGAATATTTAATAACTAATCCTCCCTCTAAAACGTTAAAATTATATAGAAACTTATCGAATCGTTTAACTAAATAGCTCAAGTATATTATGAAAGCGTGGTAACGCTTTTGAAGTCAAATTTACGTAATATTGAAAAATTACTCACCTAAAAATGTTTTTCTATTGATAAAATTAACATAACTTCGTCCTACAACTTTACACAATGTCGTATTTCGGCATTTCCCAAACACTTAACTCGACAATCACTTAGTATAAAATCCCAGAGTACAAGGAACTGAAGCTGTCCATTAATATTAGATTTACTTAAGCGATTGGAATAGAACTTGGCAATTTTCAACCCAAAAAACAAGTTACGCTTTAGAAACTCCATTGAAATCCGACTACTTGTTTAGGAGCATCCTATAGTTTACATTACAAAATTCGCCCATTACGTATTTATAAGTGGTATAAAAGTGACAGTAACAATTAATATTTAGTAAATATTCACCCCAATTTATTGATTTACTTAAGGGCAAAGTAGGTACGGTCTAAACACCAACGTGCGTTCACTTTTTCGTGGTGGGGGGGCTCATTAGTATCCGGCAGTTCAGTCGGGCGTAAAGGCAAGAATCGCACAGGGAGGTGACCCACTTCGGTGGACAGCGTGCCGTGCGGGTTGCTCCTGGACCCTGGTACTTCTTTGACGGCAAATTATACTGTTGGAGCCACCCCATGGTTGTTGTGGTCTGCTTCAGCAGACCTACCGTCGGGGCGTCGTGGTTGAGTGCGTAAGCGTTTCTGCGAGGCCCCATTAAAACGAGGGAGGTTTTGTTGGGTTTCCGTGCGTAGTACTGGCTTTTCTAGCCGGTGAGTCCCATATCTTTACCGGTGGTATGCGTAAATGCATTTCCCAACATAAACAAAAAACAGAAGGTACTACGGTCTAAGCAGTTGGGTTTAAAAGTATAAAATTTAGAATGAGCGTTTCTTATAAAATATACCGAGATGAGAGTTAAAATACGACTTTTGAATATATGGCTAAATAAAACATCAATAAAAATCCTTATTTTTTTAAGGTTAAACATAGACATGAAATTTTTACTTAAGGTGTAATATTTGACGACACGTTTGGCTCAGTTGGTAGTGTACCTACCCTACTTGCTGTTCCAGCGGTCGCGGGTTCGAGTCCCGCTGGGGGCATTCATTTGTGTAATGAGCACGAATGTTTGTTCTCCAGTCATGGGTGTTTATATTTATAATATGTATGTATTTAAAGTTATATATATATATGTAGTGTATCAACTATCTGGTATCCATAACACAAGCCTCGTAGCTTACCATGGAACTAGATGGTGCTGTGTGTTAATGTCCCAACATTTATTTATTATTATTTATTTATATGTGAAGTGTTTGCTAATAAAAAATCCTATCGGGCCGTTCTTAGAATACAATGATTTGTTCATTGATTTTCAAAATTAAAATAACATTTTCTATCTAGGTGGTGAAAATGATGATAGTCGTGGTAGTGATATTCGCAGTCTGCTGGTTACCGTTCCACGTTTACTTCGTGATAACGTCGTACTACCCGGACGTGGTGAACTACCCGCACATACAGGAGATATACCTGGCAATCTACTGGCTCGCTATGAGCAACTCCATGTACAATCCCATCATTTATTGCTGGATGAATTCTAAGTAAGTATAGTTTTGTTTTAGTTAAAACTATTTTTACGTGACTGAGGCGAAGCACAAAGAAAGATTATGTGTTTGACCCGTATGTATGTATGTATGTATTTATGTATGTATGTATGTATGTATGTATGTATGTATGTATGTATGTATGCATGTATGTATGCTATGTCTCTGAATGCATAATAGTATGTACCTTCGTTAACTTGTTTTCATCTTTTTAGTTAGTTTTATAACGCAGTCAAGTTTTTTATTTTTATTTCTTATAGAAAATGAATATTAAAAAATTAAAAATTACTCTTGTATGAATAATTGTTCGATTCTTTTAAAGTACAAGAAGAAACATGGGATTAAAACAGAATTGGATATATCAAGTTAACCTCTAGTATTATATTAGTTAGAAAGAAATCTTTGGAGCAGTTGACTTAGATGCGATTTTGCTCTGAGTTTAATAGAAAGATGAAAAATATGGCACAAGATAACTTTATGTAATATTATTAAAATATAAAAATCTTATATAAAAGGTCGATTATACATATTGAGAAATATGGTAGAATATTTTAGTCAATGAAACTTTCATTTAATTCACTGGCTGAATAGAAGGTTTGGTGTTTTTATTTTTTGGATAGAACCTTTTCATCAGTGCCTCATCTTTTTGATCGAATTCAGATATAGTTATAACCAATTTCAAGATGAAACGTTGCGGAGGTAATCGTTAAGTCAGGATAAATAAAAAATGATATCATGCCGCTATATAGACACAGTAGCTCTACCTGGTGTTATTATATTAATTACAGTAGTAGGTAATGCGAATAAATTTGGAAATATATTTATTACGTGACTTACTTTACTCGCTTTGCTCAGGCGCGTCCCTAGGTACGTTTTAAATAGATATGATTAGTTATTGCGAGTTTGCCTTAGTAAAAAGACTTAAGCTTTTTAAATAAAACTATCATTTCGGATTTTGTCGCGGATTTATTTGTAACAATACAAATAAATCCGCGACAAAATCCGAAAAGATAGTTTTATTTAAAATGTCAAATATTCGCGTAAATCTAAGAAAGTATTATAAGACTTAAGCTATTGCAATTTTTCTGTAGGTCTTATTAAGACCTACAGTTTTCTAGTATAGTATATTATATGATTATATTATATAAATATGTTTTGATGTGTCTCTTAAGGTTTAGCCAGCGTTAGACATGTAAATTTCTAAGGACGACTCATTCGGTTCTATCGACAACCAGTTATTATATTTTCCCGTAGGAATAAAAGATTTTCCTGTAGTAAAAATATTCTAAATGTTGACTCGAGTAATAAGTTATCAATACACAAAATTTTGTTAAAATCGGTTCAGTACTTTTTGCGTGAAACGCGTACATCGATTTCGCTAAGTTATTGTTTTATTATATGTATATAGAAAATAATAATAAGGTAACTGATAGATTTTTAACTTGCAACAATAATACCTACATTTGATTTATTTCCATCAATTATATTTATCTTTGAACATAAACTACTCAATTCCATTTTTTATTTTTATTTCTGTGTTTTTGATAGGTTTAGACGAGGATTCAAGCAATTCTTTTGGTGTTGCGGTGCAATGGGCGGCGGCCTCAGCCGGCAACGCGGCTTTGGTCCAGACAGACTCGATAGATCTATGCGATCTTTCTCTCCCAGCAGGAGGAACGGCACAAGTACGTATAAACGTACTAAACTAAGTAATAATACTTAGTATTTTGTCAATTTGTTTATAATATTTGTATTTTTATCAAAGGTTTATTTATATGAAGTAGCAATCACTTTACTTTAGCTTTTTAAACCATTTTAACAACTTCATCCATTTTTTATTACTTCATCATTGGAATGAAGCAGTGCAGTTCTTGAAATTATTTTAAAAAAAGTTTAAGAAATCGTTCGACTATATCAAAGTGATTGCATCAATTCAGAAAGCCATTCCATTATGTAAATACATATGCCTTTGCTATTTCTTAAAGTAAAATGTGAAGAGAAAGAAATATTTATTTGTCGTGTCGCTGTCTGCAAAGTGTTTGCTTCTTCTCATCATTTACGCCGTTTATTTCTAAAGCTTCTTTCAGTTATTATTTTTTAATATTAAGATCATAGACGAGAGCATTTTCTGCGTAGGTATATTCAAGACCACAATCAAAACTACAAAATTCATCAATAACCCACCCGACTCTCCTCATTTGCTACATGCAAATAAAATACACAAGTAGGAGCAAGGTGGCCAATCCAGAGCGTTGGTAATTTCTGGCATCTTAAATATTAAAGCGGACTGCCTTGTTATAATGATTGGTTTCAAAATTTACATTTCAGTAGTTAGGCTCGTTTGACTTGCTCGATAAATAAAGAAAATTTCATTTTGCTTCAAAAGGCCTTTCTTCCTTTTCAGTAGCGGCTTCGCTTAGCTTATTATAGTAAATCGTGAGAGCTAACACTTTGTTTTTCCGACTTAGGCAAGTTTTGTAAGTGAATAAAAAATAAAAAAACGTGACATTTTACTTGAAGTCCAACAAATTGCATAACCTTACAATATTTACCTAAGTCTGTAGTAGTTGAAAATGGAAAAATCATTGTTTCCAAAATCAAAAAAAAGTATAAAGTACGAAACAAATCCTCCACTCTCAGGTACTATAAGGATATCGCTACACAGCACATACAATAATCCGCTAATGGGGAGCTCCTGACGGCGCGGCGCCCCCGGCACGTCCGGCGCGTGCGGCGACCGCGCGCATACTGACGCGCACACGCACGCGCATGCGCAGGAGGACCGCACGTGGATATGACGGGGCCGCGCGCGCCCCGCGCCCACGCCGCACGACCTCTACGGGTGAGAGTGGTAACTATGATCAAGTTTAGCTGTAGTGTAACTCAGGGCTGCCAGTAGAGCCAACTAATTTTATACCTCTGGCTCACTCAAATTATACCAAATCAAATTTTATCACACAAATTAACAAAACTGTTTAGAAATAGTCTGTGACGAATAAAAAATATCAATAAAATACGTAATTACCTAAAATGAAATATACTTAAAATAACCATATTTTACAATTTTCGTATTCAATTATACGATCTGGCAGCCCTGGTGTAACTATCGCTCTGAAGAAAGCTGCAAATGAATTCGCAGTTACCGCCCCCTGTTTTCATTTCACATGGTCTCCATGGGCGAGAGTGATAGCAAGTATAACTGCCGCTCTGAAGTAAGCTGTAAATGACTTTATAGTTGCCGCTCCCGGCCTGCATCTTATTCCATTCATATCCCATGCTTTTTATGGGTGATAATGATAACTCTTACTAAGTATGGCAATTGTCACCCTAAATAAACTGCAAACGAATTCGCAGTTGTATATATTTGTAAAGTTCTTGTCATTTATTCAGTCACAGTGGTCTGTTTTATTTATTACTAGCCGAACCCGCGGCTTCACTCGCGCTAAAACTACAAAAAAAACTCTAAAATGGTACGTTTCATACAAATTTTTATCTGCTATTTTATCCCCTTATGGGATGAATTTAAAAAAAAATGCTAAAACATGTATTTAATTAATTTTATTGAAGGCCATATTATGCCCTACCAAGTTTCAAGTAATTCTGATCACAAATATTTTTTGGATTGCATTATAACGTCTTTTCCCGTGGGAAAGAGATAATCTCTCGTGTTAAATTCAAATTCCAATGAGATGTAAGCAATAGGAGATCAGCGCAAGACCATGCGCAGATGATGTGCGTAACATGAACGCGCGTTGTCTACGCGGGCCTCAACGTCGTTTGTAGAGACCCTAAAAAAATTATGTACTTAACATGTCAATTTCCCAAATACTTCAGAGCGGCACAGCTAAAATAACATAACTACGAATATATCTTTACATCGACACCTGCAAGGAAAAACATTATAACTCAGTATTATAGAAAATTTGAAGTTGGATAGTTTAAAATTAATAAATATTAAAAAAAAGCAATACTGAGGAGTTACAATATTATTACTTGCAAGTGGTCGATAATATCCTCATCTGTATGTGTTTGACTTATGAAGATTGATTACATTTAATAATAATATCTTCTATCGAAAGTGAAATTATTTAAAAAGTAAAATAATATTTTTTTTATTTACCTGTATATTATTTGTATAATATAATTTTTTATAACCTTTTATTCTGCACGTAATTTTGTTTCTATCTTAAACATTTCTGTATTTTTATTGGTTTGGAACATAGCAGCTTTGTTGTCCGAACACTACTAGTATCGAGTCTTTCTTATAAACTAGCGACTCACCCTCGCTTCGCTCGGGTTAGTCCCTAGCTTGCTTCCCCATACAAACTTTCATCCCCATATTCACCCCCTTAAGGGATGATTTCCGGGATAAAAAGTATCCTCCTATAGCATCACAAGCTTTACCTCTTTATAATATTAGTATAGATAAATAAACCTCAAAATGAAGTACACCGGTAAATATGTACTCTACTCTCTTAGTAAGATATTTTTCAATTATTATTAATACATATGCGGGTCTCACGTATTCTAACCATATGACCTGAATATTAATGCTTTGAGGCTATGCTATTACATGCTCTTTTTATTGTTCTTTTATCGATAGCGATTTTAGAATGTCAGCTTTTACAACACAAATTAAATTTGCTTCGGACCTTTTCTCAGATTTTCTCACGATATTTTTCTTTACTAATTATTTACCTATAACCTGATATATAAATAATTCCAATTAGTACAAACATCCAATTGAGCGTTTTGCCAGTGGTACTACTTTAGCCTATTTTAGGGCTAATACAATATTTACCTGGCCTAAGATAGAACCTATAACTTCCAACATAGTACAAAGAACTGCTCACAGCTGTTATTCTTATTTTAATACGTCTCGCCTCTTAAATATTTAAATATTATCCATTAGAAATTTGTTTCTAAGGCTTACGCCTACGCTATACGTAACGAAAGCTTAGTAATGGTTGTAGACACAATCAATATTACACTTCCAGTAAATTTCACTTTCGATAGTACATTACATTCGTAGAAATACTCATTAGTTATATATGTTTATATATTCTGTCTAGTTTAGATATCACTCTGTGCTTCGCTGTTTATACTGTAACATATATTTTATCCATTATGAAATTACATACGTACATATGTTTTGTGTTATTTATTTTTTATAAAAAAAGCATTTATTATGATACAAATCGAATGTGTAATGAAGTCTAATATTGACTTAAAATCAATTGTTTTTACAAATAAATAATACATTATCATCTGTTCAATTAAGTAAACATATATGTATAAGAAATAAAAAATAGAATTTAATAAGTAAATAAGATACATATTCTTCTACACTCATATCTAGACTTCGTTCAAAGGACCAATATATACGATATTTAAGAAAACATACGATAAATGGAATCTTAAAACGAGTTATGACTTAGGTCCGCGCCAGATTCCTTCAAAATGAGAAAATTCCTCAGGGAATATAGTCCTGGGAATTGTTTATGACTCGATATTAAATTTGATTGAGCTGAACGGAATTACAATTTCAATAAAAATATAGATCACATCACACGTAGTTCGTTCGTTTGTAAGAAATCTATTTGATATCAGTAGCTTATACGAGATATCATGTTGACTAAATATTTATGTATCACAGACTCGTATATGTATTTCTAACTGACTTTCAAAAAAGGAGGTTCTCAATTCGTCGGAATCTTTTTTTATAAAATTTATTTACAATAATCATGGTTACGGGAGAGCACGTAAATAAATCTTCGAATATAGTTTTACTTAAAATGTCAAATATTCGCGTAAATCTAAGAAAGTATTACGTTCGATACCGAATTAAAAATGAAATGAGAATTTGTAAATATGACATGGAATATTTTAAATATTCTTTTTCAAATATAATAAATTTAAGATATCAAATAATTTTAAAACAATGAAAATTAAAACAGATAATGGAAAAATTCATTTAATAAAAGCGATTTCCAGATAGTACCAACATAATATAATAATACGTGTATATGAAAAATAATAAGTGTATAAATTGTTTTCAACAAACTTTTATTAAGTTATTGTAAATAAATTAAATAGTCTATTGAAATTTTCAATTTAAACTGGTAATATAATAGTCTAAGAGGCAGTCGTGTGATATATTAAGTACATAAATTATTATATACTAGCGACTCACCCTCGCTACGCTCGGGTTTGTCCCTACGTACGTTTTACCGGTAATATACATTTTTCAGAAATGAGATATTTTCCCGCAATAAAAAGTATCCTATATGTTAATCCGGATAACCAGCTATAATCATACCAAATTTCATCAAAATCCCTCCAATTTAATGTACAGGTTCGGCTTAGTTACAATTTTTTTATACGTTAACACAAATTTGGGTATGTAGAAGAAATTGTCATATTGAGCAATTTTTTCGTCATACACATATGCCTGTAATCTCATATAGGCTGTACTACTGTAAAAAGTGGGTTAATTTATTTATTTATTATTTATGTATTAATTTAAAAATAATTATTTATTAGTGTATTAATGATCATAATGACTATAAATAAATTATTATTGTAAAAATTAAAATATACATTACCACGAATCCATTTTTATCTTTAAATGTAATAACTTTTCCTACAAAGCTGTCCAAAAAAGTCCATTGAAATTCTAGAGATATTCAATATATATTAATAAAAACGACACAAATATTTTAATTCAGTCTACAAATGAAATACAATAAAGACTGAACAAAGCGAGAGTAAGTTGGGATTTATTTATAGAAAATAAAAGGTTTTAATTTCGACAGTAAATAGAGCTTCCATCGGTATACATTTCTGACAAAATGGAAATATATAACTATTTCTTTATCTAAAGTCCACATATTTACACTCGTAAATGTATTATTATATTATTTCAGCTGAAGTAAAATAGATTTTTTGAATTTTATATCGAGCCCGCAGCAATTTCATCGGGATATTGAAATAAATTTACCGGCCAAAGTAGATTTTAGGCCAAACCGGTTCATCTAAAATGTGTCAGGATATACAGTGTTTAGCCCAGGACAATCAAGTTTGGCCTAGGCCAAACTGATTGGAATAACATAGCACTTATGATATGGGGGGATCTGGATTCGAAATAAAAAAAGGCCTAACGAGAAGGCTATGGAGGGAGCTACGTTACGTTTCACTCCCGCCTACATTACCATACCAAGCCGGGTCTGTTACATAAGAATACCACCCACTCCTCCAGAGGTCGCGTCCCATATAAACAGCCGAATAATATCTTAAACCCAGTTCGGCCTAGGCCAAACTAGTTAAGCCTAAAGTATTTTGTATTTTGTCCGGGCTAAAATACTATATCTTGTCACACTTTGGATGTACCGATTTGGCCTGAAATCTAGTTTGACCGTTAAATAATACATAAACTAAACTGTAATAATATATTTAAATGTGAGTTAATAAAACTGCAAATTATATTGTTAAGCGGGTCTAACATTTACAAATCGAATTTTCCTTATAATTATGTTAGTAAATATAAAATTATTATATGTAGATAGATAAGAAAAATGTGTAGTAGTGAAATAAGCTAAATCAGATTTAAATACCACAAAGATCATAAAAAGAAATGCAAATGATACATATAATAGAATAAATAAAATAAAAATGAAAATATCGTAGAGCGTATGCTTAATTTTCATATTACGCATAAATTCGTCTCTTGAACTATAATGTAAATATTTATTTATGTTTTATGTATGTAATATAATGTATAAAAAAACTCTTTGGCTTTATCCATACAAAAATGCTATAATCGCGATTACAAAATGGGGGTGGGGGTAAGTTGAAATATACTTCACGAC